TCTTGAACTTTCATCCCATTTCACATTTCAGACAAATTGAAGATTGCGATAAAAATATTTTAAAATTCATTATTATGTTATATATATTATAAACATAAAACTGTCCATGCTATCCATCTTTATATTATATTATACGATACAACATTTATTTGTAATTTTCTTTAAAAATGTTTAATGTTAAATGTGTTTAATCTGTTTGTATTCCAATAAATGTTAAAATATAAGAATTCCTTTTTAATAATATTTTGATATTTTAATTAATTATAAATAATACTTAATTACTTATAAATAATAAAACTGTATTATTTATAAGAATTCCTTTTTGATGATATTTTGATATTTTGGTGGTATTTTAATTACTTATAAACGATGAAATTGTGTTATTTTAATAAATTTTAATGAGGAGACATTGAGGTTTCCTTCGTACCATCTAGGATCTAATGTGCATGTTAATTTCGTTAATGCTGATGAGAACCGAGATAGGATCTTTTCTTCATTTATATCTTTATCCACTGCGAAATCCGGAATTTTCTGTAGATTGAAATGGAACGCAGATTGAAGCGAAAGTTGCAAATCCAATGAGGTGGCCCTCGACCATGTAAAAATCAATACACGCTGGGAAGTCGAACTGTTAACGTAAGCATGAAAAGAGTACGAAGAGTCGGGATAGTTATTCTTTTCACCAGTAACCCAGATTACTTCGGGCTAGACCGAAGTAAATTCGACGCGCAAGGGAGTGCGGAGTTTAGCAAAGTACGCTGGAGTTATGGACAGTCTTGGCCAGAGAAGTATGGGGTATATTCCTTCGCCGAACCGTGGTAACTGAAACTAGTCAGCGTCCGTAAATTAAAAGGGATAGCAAATTCTCGAATTACTTCAATAATGGTCTTGTTATCTCTTGCAATATTCATCTCCCTAGTGTATTCATCATTCGGCTCGATATGATCTACAAATTTCCGTCTAATTGGTAAATTGTTCGACTCGTCGGGAATTATTGAACTTCAATTAGGATCAATTGTCAATTAAGACGAATTAATTATTAATTTTTAATTCGAATGAAGCGCCCTGCGGCAGTTAATAATTTCCAAGCAACTACTTCAGCGAGACGATTGCTTCTCGCGGGTGGCGTAGACAGTCGAGAAGTGAATTAAGCTTTCACGCGCTGTTACTTTTCTTTCCCCCATCTCCCGCCGTCGGAGGGTCTCTCCGTTTACCGCAGGCATCCGACGAATTGGAATTGAATCTAACAATCTGATTGGGCGCCATCGACCGTACGAGGGCAAAATGTGCGGGAGCTCCGGCGACGCGTGTAATATATTTGATCTGAAGCGGGACTTAAATCCCGCGTACGATAACATTTAAGTAAAATCGTCGGAGCGATCCGCAAGATTTGGGAAAGACGCGAAAGATTCTCTTTTGCATGAAGACTATAAAGACAATCTCTCGCGATAACACCTTCGGGATTTAGTCCGTATATTTACTGCCGTCAGTCACACTGTCATTGCGAGAATTGAGATTGATACTTCCCATTCTGTGTCTTCTTCGCATTCTCGATCTCGCCAAGTGAGATATGCGAATGTATTATACTCGGAGCAAGAATCGCCGCAAAAACTGTTTTAAGGATTAAAATATTTTTCGGTATAAGTCCACGATTCTTTCTCTCTTTCTCCTCGCATATATGTAAGAGATTTACATACATATAGAGATATTCCCTTGCTACACGGCGTGTCTCTCTATAGGAAAGTCTCGTCGTTTCAAATTTTCCTCCTCTCTTTCTTATGTGTGTCCTGCTTTCACTTGAATTTCAACATTAATAAATCACAAACCGCGCAACCATTAATATTATGCGCATCACACGAGCCGTGACCGTAAGAGTGATGATACATTTTAAAGTGTCAACTACAATAAACATTATTTTAATTAAAATAATACGATTCAATTTGTTTTGACGCAAAACGGTATTATAATAGAAATTGTTATTGTTCAGTGAGCTTTCTACCAGCGTCGCTGCAAAATTAAATAAAACGTTAATTGCGTTCGCGTAAATGAGAAACGCTTATTAAATCATCGCACTACAATGTGTACTCACTGAAGTAACGGCAAGTTTCGAAGCTTGTAAGCAGCATGACTCGGCTGAAAGTCTGACGCTTCTCTCCAAGCGGGAATCTCCCGAACGATCCATCTTAGTTCCGTGCGACAAATTTTTCGGGTCCGCGGGCACGGTATGTACAAAGACGGATTTAATATGTTTTCTTTCTCCTCGTTTTACCCGCCAATCCTTTGACAATCCACTGCCACTCGGTATTTCTCGTTTATCGAGGGCATTTCGCGAATTGAAATTGAATCTGATGATGAGATTGAGCTCTATCGACCATGCGAAGTAAAATGTGTCCAGGGAATGTGGAAAGGAGTGGGCGGAAGATCGTCGTCTACGAAATACCCGGGATCCGAGTTATTGAATGAATTATCGAGGCACGTCAAAAATAATCGCCGCTCTCGTGCGAAATTGCCGTGAGCGTCATGCAGATAGGATTTTATTCAAGTACAATTGAATGTATAATAAAGTACATTTATTGAAATAAATTAATATGTACCTCTTCTCGACATATATCAATTTTAACATTGCTTATTGAAAAGCTTCCGAAATTTGAAAATCATAAATAATTAAAGCTACCGATTTAATTTTTTTTTATACACGCTTATGCGACATTCAGTGAAACATTGAGGACGCGTCCACTAACGCTGAATATTTTACGACTCCTCGTAAAAAAAAAAAAAACAATCTGCAACGTCGACTACCGTTGACGTGCGAAATTGACAATTTCGTTTTTATTAACTTAACGCCGAGCGATCTCGTCGCTTATTTCCATTCTCGCGGGTAAACACGATTTGAAGTTTCGGCCGTTTTCAGGGCATCGATGCCCCCGATGCTCGTTAGAGAATGTGTTTTCCACGCGTTTCGGACGATTGGTAGTCACCAGTTTCAGTACAGTTACGTACATACGTCAGTTTTTGGGAGTTTTCGCTAAAGTTCGCAACCATAAAATTGAAAAATTCTCGTTGTACCATTTTTGTATTAAGGTTATTATTGTTATTATTATTATTATTATTATTATTATTATTATTATTCTAATCGATTATGCAACATCTCCTTAGATCGACTAATCTCTATGTTCTGTAAAATCTTTTGCACTTTTTCTCGAGGCTTTATACTTCAATTTAATTCCTTCGACACTTTACATTTAAACGTCACTATAATTAATACTTCAAAATATAGACAAAACCAAAAAATACATTCATATATAAATATCTAACGTATGATACTAAAAGCATTACATTGAACGTTATATCGTCCCGTTTACGCGTGTTATCCGTACAAATTGACTCGGTGGCTGATATTTCCGTAGCCGTCGTAGTGCAAACGCTATCCCTATTTACACTGATCGCGGACAAAAGCATAGGCGCCTATAGGAACGGGCGCGTCATGCTCACAATCAGTCGTGAACATGCATATATGCGCGTTGCTGGATTACGGCTGCATATGCGCGTAATGCGAAACTGTGCGCGGGTGTCCGTGCAGAGAAATTTGCATACGTATTTCGCAGCTGTAAATTAAGAGTGATGTACGTCGGAAACTTTTACGTAAATTTCTGTACAATTGCGCGTAGACCCAAAAGTATTTAATAGTGCGTATATGTGTATGTGTGTGTGTGGGGGGGAGGGGGGAGGGAGGCAAGAGGGAAGTTCGCTATTAATTCCGCAGGTTAATTTTTGTCAGCAAATTCATTCACGCCGTTTGATTAACGCCGATGTTGGCTGTCGTGTAAGGAAGAGCAATTGGAAATGCGGGAGAACCAAACGACTCTACATGTACGGAGTTTACATTTTCAAGTGTAAACTGTCGTAAAGCAAACTCACTGAATACTCCATTTGTACAAAGCAATCGCGTATGCTGCGCGAGACAACTCGCTAATTTCTTCATGCAGTGTCTATACGATATATTGTATCTGCGTTGTTGCATGGAATTGTAGAATTTATGTGTACTTTCTGCATGTAAACGGTGTAAATTTGTAAATGCAAACATTCGCGCACGATATGGGAAATAGAATTCGTGGACTCGTACGATAATGGGCGTAATCGAAGGTCAGCTCACATCAGGAGGAGAGTTACTTTAGGAAGAAGAAAAATGAGAGAAGAACTACGAGAAAAAGAAAAAAGGAAATATAACAAAAGAGGAAAGAAAGAGAAAGGAAAAGACAAAGGATAAAACGTATAAGAAAGAAGTAATAAGGTTAATCATCTATATTGTTTGCGAGTCGTAAAGGACATTACGCTTTCACGTTTAATCTTTTTTAGCAAGCAGATTTCGTTTATCATTAAGATTATAAGGGGGATAAAAAGAGGAGAGCACAAAATAATTAGAATCGACGTTATCTAAAGTGAACGGGTAAATTAAAGAAAATTGCGACGGGAAGAGAAAAAGGGGGAAAATGGGCGTTGTGCTTTCTTAAGCGTTCCTGCGAGAGTGAGTCCGTAAATGTTAACTCCGCCAGTCGTATACATATTTATTTAACGCCGAGACGATATTCTTCCCGGTGTGCGAATTGTTTTATCAGCGCGAGTCGGGGACGCGGGGTACAGCGGCCCCGCGGCCGCTTAAGAGACAGATATACAGGGTCTCTCGCCGTGGCAATAAGAAGGATAAAAAATTGCCTAACAGTTCCCCGGGATCATTGTATTACCGATTTAATTTAAGAGGGTTTCGTGGGAGGTAGAACTCAGAAGTGCGAGTAAAATTATTTCCCGAGTGGTATGAAAAATGCTTGACGGAGTTGGAAAAGGCTTTCTGGAGAAAAAAAAAATAAAGCCGGCGCGGTTATCCTCCGTGAGAGCACGTGGCAATTAACTTTCTGTGTTCGAACTTAATTAATAGAATTAATGAATAAATAATTAATCAACGTAAATATGTTTTACACAAAGAAAACGAATATCCTACAATATTATTTTGCAGATTTTATTAACACAGCCTTCATTTTAATGTTTCGCAATTAATGATAATAAAAGCGCGAAGAATGAGCGTGAGGTTCTCGGAAAATTCTCGGATAAGCTTGCCGCTCATTCATATGCCGGAAAGATAAAGATGCTGCGCTCATCTAATGTAAAAGGGGTACCTTAGTCACCGATATATAATCGATATATTAAAGACGGTCTATTCCATCCAGAATGCCTCGGCACTCTTCCTCTCTAATCGTGTTTCTTCGTTTTTGCTTTGTGCCTTTATCCTTTATAAACAGGCACATTATCAGCCGAGCGGCGGCACTAAAGAACTTTCTTTTTAGAGTGGTATTGAAAATCCACTTGAAACTTTCCGCCTGTAAAAACCGATAATTCTTTATTGAATCTTTTTATTGAATCCAAGCTATATGTTGAACGTTGTATCCTCTCTCAATATGGCTTTTTTATTTCAAGTCATTTATTTTTAGATTAGTGGATTTTTTATTTGCTGCAAAGTCGTAAATGGGTTAGAAACATATATCTGCGAGGGAAGATATTACTCGAAATTAAGAGAGAAAGAGAGAGAAAGAGAAAGAGAGAGAGACATGATAAAGCGCTTTATGCTCCACAACAAAATTCTGATAAAATAGTTCCGGCGAGATGCCTGCGGAAACGGGAGATGTCCGCACAAGTTCTTGTAAAATAACTTCTGGTTAGATTTTTGCTTTCTGATAAACGTGAGCTTGTGTAGCAAATAGCGCGTACTATCGCGATGTAATTAATGAGAGAAAAATATAGAGAAAATTTTCAAGTGAAAAGTGCTGTATAAGCTTACATTGTACGAGCATTAAGGCAATTCTATATATATTCTCCGAGAAAAATTATAGTAAATTATAGTAAAGATAATTTGTTCATTCGCCAATGAACAGAAATGTATCGAGTATCAATGCGATTTTCTCGAGAGATCGAGGGAGGGGAGAGACACGCAAATTAGATCGGATCGAAGTCGGCCAATTTTTGGCCTTCGTTTGTCATGGCCGCGCGTCTCGGCGCTAACGAGACTCGCATCTGCGAAGAGAACGGATACGAAGGCTGCTGGCAGCTCAGCGGAAGCGGCGAAGCGGAAGAGGCGGTAGGAAGCTCGGGGCTACGCGGGTTGACCTACTCGGCGCGACACCGGGCGCACGTGGACTACTCCACTACCGCCGGCATCAGCAGACTCCTCAAGCAATCCAGGCGGAAGCAGTCGGCGAGAATTAGGAGATGCATGTGTCTACCGTCCAATTACGCCCTCGTGGAGTTCCCCGTGGTCTGGTCCGAGCTCAGGTCGGTAATCATGCGCCATCGTAATTAAGGCACACACTCTCTCCGCCCCCGTTCGTGTCAGCGGCGCGGATTATTAACTTTCTCTCATGGGACAATGCGTGGTACCGGGATAGAAACGCAAGTTTACGAGATGTTTGCTGGCTTTTAGGAAATTAGCCAATTTTCGGAATTGTTCGCGGCTGTTCTACATGAGAAGCTATTTAGGGAAGTACTACTCCTCCGCGAACTCTTTTCCCAGAAATGTATTTAAGAACAAAATTCAATAATTCCGTTTCATAAATTGGAGCTGCATGTTATTGTACACATTTCCTATGACATAAGAACACTGGGCTGAAATTAGCTTTAATACGCTACAAGATTCATGATTCGAAAAATTAATTTATCCAAATATAACTTCAATTCAATCGAGCACTATAATTTCTGTATCTATTATACTCGCACCTTTGAAACTTTGTAATAAATGGTTAATTATAAATTACGTGCGACATATATACGTTCTCAGAATTGTGACGAGAGTCTGTCGGCTTCAGGGCTAACCAGCAGCTGTGCGACGGGGTCATAAGATGCCCGGGGGATCAAGTCTTCCCAGTCCATCGCGCTATATTATCCGCGGTGAGCCCCTATTTCAAGGCCTTATTCACCAACAGCCTGAAAGGCGGGAAAACCGAGACCACGGAAGTCGTTATCTCCGCCCCCGGTGAAATCTTCAGCCTGATCCTCGACTACGCCTACACGGGCACCTGCAACGTAAACGCCGATAATGTCGAACAATTATTACCGCTGGCCGATCAGTTCGAGGTGCTCGGAATCGTTCAGCTCTGCTGTCAGTTTTTGTTGCAGGAGCTGCGACCGGAAAATTGTTTAGGTAACACGCGACGCAAAAGTGTGCGTATTATATATAAATATAAAAGTACAAGAACAATTAATCGTAAGGCAATAATATATACGACGTTACAATTTCAGTTTGACTCGGCCTGCAGCCAGAGATAACAGTTCGAAAGTTAAATTGCTCGTACCGAACTTGGATGTTGATTTTCGATTTTCCGGGCGAACAATTCGTGACATTTATGTTAGAAATAACTTGGGCCGTTGTTACACGGTTACAGGTATTTTCAAATTTGCACGACACTACTTCTGCCGCGATCTCGAGAAACAGGGCCGGAACTACATACGTCACCACTTCAAGCGAATACTGCAGGAGAGCGCGGAGTTCAAGGATCTTCTTTGCGACGAGCTGGAAGCAATATTGCGCGACGACGAGCTCAATGTTAAAAACGAGGAGATCGTGTTTGACGCCGTCAAGACGTGGGTCGAAGCCAGAGCCGAGGAGAGACGGGTTTATTTACCGAGGTTGCTGGAATGTATACGTTATGGTCTCATGAGTCATAAGTATTTCATTAATAACATCGTCAACTGGAAGCTCGTTGAGAAGGATGAAGTAAGCTCGTACCTTCATCACCTACTGATCCTCGTATCTTGTTTTGCTCCATTTCGAATCGAATATAATAGAGCTAGGCGTAGTGTGCCGATAGATGTTTCCTTCGCAATCACTTTCTAACAAGATATTGTTGCGGCATGAAACTGAATTAGCACATTGTTCACATTGTCCTATTTCACTCGGACATTCCCATTTTACTCGGAAAGGAATATTAAATTGAATATTAAAATGCAGAAATCGCGAAATATCATACATATTTTTATAAAAATACAATCTGTTAATATGTTTATTTTAATAAAGTATATATTGTAATAAACATTTAAATGGACTTATGTATGAGCGATCATTTTTGTTATATTTTTAATTTTCATTAGACCTATATCTCTTTTGGCAATTTTTATTTCTGTATGATATTTTAGTCACGTTAAAAAAATCCTCTCGAATTTTCTAAGGCGTGCCAACAAATTCTTCTTCCGGTGAATGCTTATCTAACCGAGCAAGAGTTGAAACAAAACGGAGAGATCGATCTAAAAAATCCTATTGCGAGACCTCGAGTTCCATACGAAATTCTCTTTGCGATTGGCGGATGGAGTGCCGGTTCGCCCACCAGTTTTGTAGAGACTTACGACACAAGGTGCGCCAAGCTCTTACAAAGTAACATCATAACCGAAATTTCCATAGAAATCGAAATTTGTGAGGTCTCCAAAAATATCATTGCATACATACTAGATTTCAATTTAGGCTTCAAATAAAAATAAATATTTCCTTTAAAAACAGCGACAGATTTTTTTCTAACCCGCTCGAAGTTGGTCTTTCTTATAGCAAAGAAAGTATTTATCACACTTTAATGTTTCTTAATTTCTGTAATATTATACTATATTAAACTTATATTGTATTTATATATATATATATATATATACATATATTTTTTTTTATTTTATAAGTTAGAAAGGAACAATTAAAAATATGAGATTATATTAGAGACAGCATATATAATCGAATAAAAGTACGTTATCATAAATGAGGAAGAGATATTGACCTTACACAAAATCGCCACTCTAAGTGTTATCGCATACGTTAAGTAAATACACCTTGAGCATCTTGTAACTTATCTAAATATGAACTCTAGAGCTGACAGGTGGTTTCTGTCAGTGAACACGGACGTAACGCCGAGAGCTTATCACGGATTATGTGTCCTGAACAATCTTATCTACATGATCGGTGGATTTGATGGTAACGAGCACTTTAACACGGTGCGATGTTTCGACCCGACGACGAAAACGTGGCGGGAACGCGCATGCATGTATCATGCCAGATGTTACGTCAGCGTTTGCACGCACGGTTGGTTTTTTGCAGGATAAATAAAAATTTAAGAAGAGAAAGATCCTTTTTCAAATATAATTCGCCAATTTTTATCTCCTTATTATATAACATTAACTGGCATCTTGATATTAGATATAGCTCGAAACTCGGCTATTTTCATATCTTTTTATCTTTTTTATCTTAATGTTACAAAAAATTAAGTAGAATTAAATTAGATTTTGCCCTCGCCGGAACAATGAGTGGGTTTTCTTTCCGAGTAAAAAAGCTTCAAACTAGCGTAAAACTATTTTTCAAATGGGAAAATAACAAGTGTGTCAAGTTAGCATCCCAACATTAAACTTTCATAGTTCTGATTAGAGTTTCCGCTTTATTTTGAAGAGACGAAGCGTTCCCTATAATATTTATAACAAGAGTTCTTCTTAATAACAATTTTTAATTCAAAATAAAAAAATAGGATGCCAACTTTTTATCAAAATTCATGATCGAATACTTCTGAGCGGCTTATTAAATGTAAACTATAGAGAAACTCTTTGTCTCTTCAAAATGAAGTGGGACCGTTTATCAGAACTGTGGAATTTTAATGTCGAGGGTGACTAATTTCACACACGCATAACAAGATGAATGTATGCACAAGGTTCATGCAGAAAGTAAAACGCTTCTTTCCCCTCGCGCTATTATTCGATGTTAAAACAAATCCTTCTATTTTTCGGTAAAAACTAAAGACCATTTGTCTCACCTTTCTTTCATGTCATTTCCATTGTCTACTTATTGCGCATTGTTCCGATATCGTTCAAGGCGGCAAGATTTATGCGCTCGGCGGATACAATGGTCGCACGAGAATGAGCTCGGGCGAAAGATACGAGCCGCAGCGGAATCAATGGGAGATGATACCGTCCATGCATCGGCAACGATCGGACGCGAGCGCGGCCGCCCTGCACGACAAGATTTACATTGTCGGCGGCTTCAACGGCCAGGAGGTCCTCGACTCGGCGGAGGTCTTCGACGTGGAGACCAGCCAGTGGACCAACATCGATTCGATGATCAGCCCGCGATCCGGCGTCTCCTTGGTCGCCTTCCGCGATAGTCTCTACGCCCTCGGTGGATTCAGCGGCGTTGCAAGACTGAGCTCCGGTTAGTTTCGCTTGCTGCAATCCCGACGTAATGCCGGGGGGCTTCTGATTGCCTCCGATAGCAACTGCGAAGTTACGGCCTCGCTTATTAGGATTAAACCGCCTGAAGATAAAGAGTTAACTCTAGCAATTCCGGTTATCTCTCTCTCCTGCTGAAATTATTCATTATCAATTGCAACGCAAAAAGATACTTTCGACATTTTAAGATATTATTAAAGAAAAAAATGCTTCATTAAAGAAAGCAATTAATTTGATATATTTTTATATAAATAGATATGGAAAACTTCTGATAATTATTACCTGCGTACGTGAGCGCAATATATAGATGTGCACGTGTTAACGTCATACGTTATAATAATAATAATTAATTAGTCAAGAAAAGTTTCACAGATGCTCCGCACACTCGTCAGGATTTCAGTTTGATACTGAAATGTTTCCGCAGACAATGGCAGTCTCGTTCAGTTGTAACTACGTCAGTAGCGCGATATCATTCAATGGCATGCCGGTTGTATGTACGTGACGTATTCTTTGGCGGTATCCGCGATTGTATAACTACGCATTAAATATTTTCCACGCGAGCGTTCGACATGACAGGCTACATGCTGGCATCGTTTGGCGAAAAATCAACATTTATTTTCCAGGGGAACGTTACACTCCAAATCACTCGGATCAGTGGCACGAGATCTCGGAGATGTTTAGCCCA